TTTAGGTGGTTACCTTTTACAGAAAACAAAGGAGAGGACACCACTAATCACAATACAGAAGAAGGATACTTGCAAATGCAAAGGGAAAAGCGGTTGAACTGTTTATCTGATGCAGATATGTAGTTCACCTCCCTTGAGATTTAGGATGGATTTTAGGTAGTTACTTTAAAGATATGCAGTAAATGTTTATGCCTCAATTCAGGGTGGGGAGTTTTAGCAAAAGCAAGCCACAAAGTAGCCTAGGTACTATACAGGCCTGATTCCCCACAGGGGACCCTATCCGTGGGCGTGGGTCCTGTACATCTCCCAGTGGGGGCTGGGCCCACGCCACACAGAACGGTCTCCTATATCTTGCCTCAGGGAGAGCTCAGGAAGAGCTCTAGAAAAGGAAAGAGATTCTTAAAGAAAGAGATGAATTCTTTGCATATTTGTTGTTTCACAATAAATAACAAGCTAAGAATGTAGCTAGAATTAGTACGATCAAGGAGCTGTAAGTTTACCTTTCTCCCTCCATCACAACCATATACATGACATTTCTCAAGCATTCTTTTCACAAGAAGACATGCTCTTGATAGAAAACTCTGCAAAACATGTTACAAGAGGAACATATGCTTTCCACATTTGGGGACCACTGAAGCTGATTTCGTAACAGAAACCTAACTCTAAATCCAAACCGCTGTAATAATGAAGTCTCAGCATGACTCACGAGACCACGGTGTTGAACAAACTGGGTGGTGGGGGGAGTAGTGAACCAATTCCAGGCTGTAGCCTTAAATGATGTTGTACTTCAAATAAAATGCTCATGCTTTCCACAAACAAAATTCTACTAAAAAGAATCTAGAAACAATTTAAGTAGCTGAGAATAACCCACAGACATCCTGCTTTGTCTTCCATAATTCACAGGGTCTGTAGAGAAAAGCATGATTTCTGCATGACAACAAAGAAATTCCATTTCCATTCAGTCCTTGAGAAAAAAGAAAACAATTGACAACTTCAGTAAGTACTTATTAAACATTTGTATTAGTTTGCTCTCAGACTGTCGTAACAAAATACCACAGACTCCAACAATAGGCTTAAACAACAGAACTTTATTGTCTCACAGTTCTGGAGGCTAGAAGTTCAAGACCAGGGTGTCGGCAGACTTGGCTTCTCCCTAGGCCCTTCTCTTTGTAGACGGCTGTCTTATCCCTGTGTCTTCACATGATCTTCCCTCTGCCTGTGTCCATATCCCTTCCTCTGATAAGGATACCAGTCATATCAGATTAGAGCCCACTCCCGTGGCCTCATTTTAACCTAATTACTTTTTTAAAAGTTCTTTCTCCAAATACCGTCACATTCTAAGGTACTAGAGGTTGAGACCTCAACATAAATGTTTAGGGGGAGACACAAATCAGCCCATAACAAGGACATTGTAAGTGTCAGGCACTGAATACAGACTAGCATCAAAAAACAAAGGACACTCAGGCTCAACGGTTTCCTTTTTCCTTTCTACAGAAACACAGATCTGAACAGGAATGGACTGTCTGTGGCTTAGGAGGTGAGAGAGTGGTAAATGGGACTCCAGAACTGATTCATACTCAAAAGAAGGAGATGCCCAGTCTACTGTGAACGAGATCTTCCAGAGGAAGCTCATTCAGGGAACACTGGTGGTCATGCACTCACTATGCACGCATGCACACTCACCCAGACACACCTGTGCACACTCAACTCACATAGGCCTCCAGGATGGCTGACAGGGCTCCACTCCCTGGCCAGCCCATCCCTCAATGGTCTGGTTGCATTTCTGATGCTGCTTCTTTCAGACACAGAACCTCAGGCACCAAACACTCATTCTGCCAGGTGACAGCATGTCACTGGTTTGCTGCCTGCAAGAGGCAGTCCTTCCACCCTGTGACGAGGTCCTCCTGGGAAGTCTGGTTAATTGGGTTTGTACTTGGCAATAAGAAAACCACATCCCCTTCATGAACAACTTTTCAAAGTTCACCTCATGCCTGAGGTTTTACTTCTCCTTGAAAGGAAATGCAAATGTCGAGAATGCCCACCCCCCCACCCCCAGCAACTCTTTAGAGTGTGTGTGTGTGTGTATTTGTAAAAACTGGATTACTTCTAATTTGCTATTCAGAAGGGATATAATAGGCTTTGCACACTCATAGCCACTCGTACTATTCTTTGCACAAATCTAAGACACTATGTTCTTGGCTTTTAATTAAGCCCTTTGCATCTCTAGGCACCATTCAAATGGTCAAATAGTTTTTCACCAGACACCTTTCATTTTACATCCTCTTGGTCTACTACTGTGTTTTTGATTTCTGTGCTGATGATGTCACTCACTTCTCAACTATCCCTAGCCCCAACAGTCACTGTTACTCGAATAAACTGTATAATGTTTTGCTTTGATTGAGCATGTCAGAGTATCACAGTGTCTTCAGAGGCTAAGACGTTGAGGACAGCACCACTCAGGGAACAGTGGGTTGTCTGTGGAGCCAGATGTGCAGAGTTAATGTGCCCGTAGCTGGTGGTGATGGAGACTCAGGCCCCCATGCCCAGGGTAAGCCGAGCTCTACTTCTCTAATCCAGGATCTGAACTTTCCGAGCCTACATGTTGTCCTAAGGCAGAAATAAGCCACTGAGCTACCCACAGTAGGCTCGGCATGTATGAGAAGGAGAGTACAATCTGGGTGGCACAGTTCCAATAGGGGGGAATAAACCAGTGAGGGAAGAATGTTACCTCATCTCTGCATGGAGAACAGGGTATACCCCTCTTTATAATGTGCAGAAATCACTGCACTTTTTAGTGGATGCTAATACATGCAAACAACATCACTTAGGCAACTCAGGTGTAAAACTGGGAAGCAAAGTCTGGGAAAGCTGTGGTCGGCCCATAAGACCTCAGGAAGAGAGGAAGTTAGATGAGGTTTGTTGACACTGTCAAGGGAAAAACTGGAGATACAGCAGGGAAAAACGGCTGGAGAAGAAAATGCAAACATTGACAAGAGAGAAGAAAGGTGGGTTGGAATAAGGTGAGACCCTGAAGGATGAGTAGAGACTGAGAGGTGATAGAAGCCTGTTGGTCAAGAAGAAAAGGATGGCCAGCTCAGGATTTTTTGAGGCGCCCAGCAATGATTTCTGCTGGGCTGAGGGTGTGCCTGGAGAACCAGCATTCAGTTTCCTGACAAATATTTACATATTCTCAAAATGTCTCCCCTCAGATTATTTATTACTTACAAAGGAGAATAGTAACTTTATACAAGAGAAATCTGTCGATGCTACTTTCACCAATAATCTATTGGGTTGGCCAAAAAGTTCATATAGTTTTTTCTGTAAAATGAAAGACATATTTCTTTTTCACCAATAACTTTATTGATTTGGATATTTTGAGTTTGTTGGCTATTTCCCACATGGTATAACATTGACTGTTGTCAATTAATGTCTCGACTGGATCACTATCAACCTCAACTGGTCTACTGGACCATGGAGCATCGTCCAGCGAGAAATCCAGCATGAAACTTCGCAAACCACTTTTGACACGTTCCATCAGTCACAGCACCTTCTCTGTCCACTGAACAAATCTTGTTTGGCATTGCAGTTGCATTTTTACAACTTTCTAGAAATAATAAAGCATTATATGCTGAAAATGTTGCATATTTCTACATCTTCAACATTAAAATGTCACACAAAAATTCGCCAATTTTGATAAGTTTTTCTTTAATGCACGTTGATGTGACAGCTGTCACAATACAATCTAACAAATCTGCTTCAAATGAAGTTAAAGACAACTAATGGCTACTACAGCCATCATATAGAAAAAAAAACAAACAAACTTTTTAGCCAACCCAATAAGATAAGGCCACCAAAATTAGGAAAAATCAACATTACATGCCACTTATTTGATGCATACAGAAGGTTACAACAATCCTCCTGTGGCATTTCTGCCACAACTGTGTAACCATAATAATCATGAGGAAGCATGAGCTTACCACAAATTAAGAATAATTCTACAAAATAAACGTCCTATACTCCTTAGAAATGTCAAACTGAAGAAAAATGAGAGGATGAGAGAAAGCTAAAGGGATATGAAAACTAACTGTGATATATGATTCCAGATTGGATTTTAGGCAGAAAGAAAAAGCAACAAAGGACATTACTGAGAGAACTGATGATAATTATGTATGGACTATGGATTAGATAATAGTATTATATTAATTTAAATTCCTGATTTTGATAACTTGACTGTGGTTAAGAGAATCTTTTGTCTTAGAAAATATATACTGAAGCATTTAGTGGTAGAGACGCAATATATCCAGCCAGCTTATTCAAATGGCTTAAGGAAAAAAGAAATTATCTATGGGGAAAAAAGAAATTATCTAGATAATTTTCCTTAAACCATTTGAATAAGCTGTCTAGACAGTGAGTCTCTTTATCACATGTAGATGCAGTTTAGATAAATAGATAGTGAGGAGATGGTAAAGTGAAGGGAGAAACCTGTAAGCAGAATAGGTAAAGCATAGTTGCTTATATGATTCTTCCAACTTTTTTATACATTTGAATTTATAGTAAATAGAAAGTTACCTCCTTCACAAATGTTCTGAGTAGTCAAAAGAGTTTCTTCCAACTTTTTTATACATTTGAATTTATAGTAAATAGAAAGTTACCTCCTTCACAAATGTTCTGAGTAGTCAAAATGTTCTGAGTAGTCAAAAGAGTATTCAAAGACAGAGTGAGGGAACTGCACCCCAGTTTCAATGTTTGTGGACTTTCCTCACACTACCAAGCAATTCTTGAACACCTGCTGGATGTCTTACAACTCAATTCTGACACCACTCAGAGGCCGCATCGGATCCCGCAGGTTAAGGGCTCAGCCCCACAAGGCTGCAACCTCCCCAACCCAATTCAGATACCAAGCATAAGGTTACCTGTGCTTCGAAGCAACTGGCAATAAAGGAGAGGTTCCCATGACCCCTTTTGGGGTTCAATTAATTTGCTAGAGCAGCTCACAGGACTCAGGAAAACAGTTTATTCACTATATTACCAATTTATTGCAAAAGATATTAAAGGATACAAATCCACAGACAGATAAAGAGATACACAGTGCAAGTTCCCTAGCTCTGTGGAATTTGGGACCCGGTGGCAAGTGGAAACATCTGGTTCACCAACCCAGGAGCTCTCTGAACCCTCTCTGTTGGGGGTTTTACGGAGGTTTCAGTACATAGGTATGATGAGTTAAATCACTGGCCATTGGCAATCTATTCAACTCCAGCCCCTCTCCCCTCCTGGTAACTTTTCATTCCCATCCTCTAATCACAGGGTTGGTTCCTCCGGCAACCGACCCATTCCTTACATGATTTCCAAGTCACCTTATTAACATAAACTTGGTTGTGGTGGGAAGGAGCTTGTCTTGAATAACAGTACTCTGGTTCACTTTTAGGACTCAGAAATACTTTCCAGAACTGAGGACAGCAGACCAAATATTCTGACCAAAGATGTTCCCATTGCCCACAGAGCTCAGGAAATTCCAAGGGTTTGAGAAGCTGTGAGCCAAGAACAATGGAAGAAGACAAATTCTATATGAAAAATATATTTTTGTTATCTTTTTGACCAAGTACATTTTTCTCATAAGTCACAATATCACAAGGGTGTTAGCTTGTATAACAGCTGGAGCAAAACGGCAACAGGAAACAGAGCGAATACCCAGTAAGTCTGATCCTTAAAGCCAGGCAAGGTGGGCTGCGTGGTTGGCCCACGTCCCAGAAACTGCCCTGCCTACCAGCATCCTGTACTCTGGTTTTCACGATGTCCTAAGGTACCGTCTGTGCTGGGCAGAGCTGGAGCTTGAACCCAGGTGCTCAGACTGCAGGACACGAGACTCTGCTGTCCTGTTTCTTCTGCAGGTCTGCACCATTTTCCTGGTCTACTTAGTCACACGCCTACCTATTAATGAAATATAAATGTGTGGCATCAGCTGTTCCCAGAGAAGCTGTTAATTCTGATCAAGTTAATTCACTGTCAGGACCCGCAAAACAGAGGCCACCCAGTGGCCCACCCCCACATCACACACCTAAACCTGTATCAGCTTGCACTTACAGGAAGCACCTGTCAAGGGCTCCTACCATCCACCAATCACAGTCCTCCATCTCAGCTGGAGCCTGCTCACCTTACCCTGGAAAGTAGCACGGGCGAGCCTTCCAAGGAAACTCCCAGCCTCCTAGTCAACTGTGGCAGTTCCGTGTTGCCTCTTCTAACATCATAAACTCACTCTTGCCCAAGCATCCTAGGAACAAGAACTCCACCACTGCGAGGTCCTGTACTCCCCGGATCCATAGACTGGTTTTTCTTGAATAAAGGACATTACACTCCTTACTAAATTCTTTGTTTTGTCATTTGACCATTTCTGTCAATCCTGTGTTGTTTTTTCAGTTGCCAATTTTTGTCTCTCTTTCAGAATTGTTCTTGGGCTCAGAGTCTGCATCCCAGCTCAGACACAGCCTCCTCTGAAACCCGGGCAGAGCAGTGAGTCTGCCGGGTTGCCAGGCTCGTTTCTCTACCGCCTTCCTGTGCTCACCTCGCCGGGAATGTCGAGGGGCCAGAGCATACATGTGATTTCTCAGGGACTTTCCCACGTGTTTCAGTCATTAGTCCCTAGTAAAGTACCCCTTATAGGGTCACTGCAAATGTCATAATCCCCAAACAATTCCATTACAGACACCTCTCAGGCGAGTGAGTACTTTTCTCTGATGTTTCAGTCAATTCAACATCCATTTGTCTTTCCTTATCAGCTAACATTTAAACACTCTTCAGAGAAATTAAACAATCAGTTAGGCAAGGCCAGGGTTTACCATGACCCCCCTTCGTGGAACATGACGTTCTGTTGATGGTGGGCAGTCTGAGCCCCAGCGCTGTCTCGGGTGCCTCACTGTCAGTCTGCGTAGATGCTCAGAAGGCCTCCGCCTCAATAGCCGGACTTTGCTCCTTCATCAACATTTCCTTCATTTTTCTCTCCTTATATCTGCAGCTAAATTTTCTCCACAATGTTTCCACCCTTGGGTTTTTCCTACCCATTCTACTTGCCAAAATTGTGCATAAGTCTCCCATTCCTTCTATTTAATCCATATCTTTTGATCCAGGTAAGTGCTTTTATTATCTAGGCACAAATCTCACTCCAAGCCTTAGCAGTACCACAACATTGTATTTGTGCTACCTTTTTCAATGGGAACATATGTTTCTTCCTAGTCCCTGTGCACTGATTATACAGAGAGACTTTAAATTATGTGTTCTTTCCAAATGATATTCTGGAAAGATGATACTGGCTGAGAATTACCAGTAACTTCCTAGGCCTCATTTCTTCTCCCCATCACTCCTGTTTGACCTTCACAGTAAGAGGCATTCCATTTTCATGAGTCTTTCTTCCTCTCTTAAGCAGCTCTGGTCCTCCAAATCAAGGTGATGAACTGTCTGTGATCCCAAGTCTTTTGACATCAGACCCCTGAGTAGAAGCTCCCTGTCCTGGTGCCTCACGCTGAGATCCGCTGCAGACACACCCGGGCCCGGGACTTGATGCCACTGGAAACACAGGCTGGGCTCTGCTGCGTGCAGCCATGCAGCCAGGGTTCCTCCCGCAGGTGGGAACGGCTCATCCTCGCCACAGGGAAAGGCTGCAGAACAGACGGCCTGTCTTGGAGACCGCCGGGTACTCAGAAGTTCTTGTTTGGAATCACATTTTATAGGAATGAGGAAAAAATAGAGCAAAACATCTAAAGCTCCGAAAATGTATGCAGAGACCTTAATAAATACTGGTCATATTATTAGTTGCAGCACAATTTATTATCTGGCCACAGTTTTGGGGTACATGAATAGGTATTGATTTAACATCATTGTGACCACTTTTGGGACAGAGCAACCCAAAAAGAAAACTTCAAAATGTGCAAAAGCAATAAATATCAAACTTTCTCATCTAAAATGTATAAATATAAAATATCAGTCACTTCTGGAAACATTCTTAAGAAAATCCAGCAACTGACATCCATGGGCAGGTGCTTGGTGTTGATGGTGCTAATCTTCAGAACACATCACCTCAGATCCAGCACAGTTATTTTTATGTCTTTTACCAACACATGTTTGCATATCTAGGAAAGAAAAACATTGGCCTTAGAATTAGATCATAATGTTTAACAGAACTCTCTTTAGGGAGGAAACAGTAATTTCCTAATTTAAAAATGTTCCTAATATTAAAAAGATTTCAATCGGAACAAATGCCAAATGCAAACACGTTTATTCATTTTCAACAATAAGAAAATATTTACAGAGGTTGCCAAGTAATTTTCTGTTTCAATAAATACTAACTTCAAAATAATGTTTCTCGGATGTTACAGCCAGAGAACTACCGAGAAATCAGTTAGAAAGAAGAGCTGTAGACAAACAATGTTTCTTTTAGGCTAATCAAGAAGTATGGTTACAGTTTTCATGCAATCATTTTTGTGGCCATGTTAAGCAGAAATCATTCACAAGACACTTAATATCATTTTATTTAATAATTATTTGCTTACTTAGAGTCTAAGGAAAACTGTATTTGAATGGCACACAGAACCATCAATGGAAAGGTAGCTTAACTGTCCTATAGAAATTTGGCATTCTCTTGTAAATAAAATCAGTCAGAAGAAATTACAAAGAATGATTTTCTGGATGAGAAAAGTCCACACTAAGCAGCCTAGTGTTTCATCCCATATTATACTGCTAAAAAAAAAAGAGCAGGTAAAAAATAAATATCTGAAAAAAATAACTACCAGTGTCTACTCACACTGAATAGCTTCGGTTCCTTGGTGTGTGGATGAAACCCCTTCTTTTTACAAGCGGAGACCTCCAGCATGCCGGCGTTGGTGAGCCTGAAGATGCCAGTGCTGAGTTCCAGGGAGAAATAGAGGTAAAAATTAAGGATTGTTTGGGTCTACCGGATGCTTTATTTGAACGGCACAAGCAAACAGATTCCTCAACTGGGACGGAAGAAGACACCACCAACTAGGATTGCCATGGTGATTTTTTGAGCCAATCTTACGATGACTGGGCTAGAGGTGAGAAACACTGGAGGGGCCAGAGCTGGCTCCAAGCACCTGTAGGACTGTAACGGGCCAGAGGTGGCTGAACTGCTGGGTGAGAGCACAGAGGAAAAGGTGAGCCCCCTGGAGGAAATTACGGGTGGCAGGTATCTCTAATTGTTCTAACGGTGGTAACAGTGGTGGTAGCAACAGCAAATACTTGTGGAGCACTGGTTGTGGCGCCAGGCACGATGCTGAGCCCTTTACACAGACTACCCTCTACAGTTTCATCCTCACATCAGTCCGTGGTGGGCAGGCTCAGGGTTGAAGAGCCCGAGCCTCTCAGTGGGCAGGTGTCCTGATAAACATACCACTTGAGGGAGGAAATGGGATTCCTATGTAAGTCTACGTGAGTCCTCAGTTTATAATCATGCTACAATAATCATTGTCTCCCAAACCTAGAAGGGTTTTGGCGGTAATTAAACTAAGGCTGGAAATTTTCCTACAACCGGAAATAATACAGTAGAACTAAAATCTCAAATGGCAAACTGGAATTGTAACATCCAGTTTATCCACTTCAAGGTCACATTAACTGAAGAAAGAGAACCAGTAATTCTACCATTGAAAGGACCTTGAAAAGCAAGCCTGTGGAGCTACAGGTACACAGGACTTGGCAATCACCGATCTTTTTTTCCCAGGGGCATGTTGTGCCTGCCCATTCAAGGGCCACAACCTGCCGCAGGGACACCCTTGAACCCAGTGGCCCCAGACAAAGCCTTACTTGAGCCCCTCGATAGTTACACTTACTCTTTATGCTTTGGTGAACACACAATGGCAATCGCCTCTGGCAACATGAGCTGATAGGAACAGTGAGTGTGCAGATCCACACTGGATAAGAAAGCAGTTTGGGTAGGATGTGTCTATAAAAAGAAAAGAGGACAATCTCATTGGGGTAGCTGAGTCTTAGCCAAGGCCACAGAGCCTTCTAAAAGAAAACTCCAGTTATCTGCTTTTTCTTTTTTACAATGATTAATCAAATGTGAATTTTTAAAAATGTCTTGCTGACCTACACCTTCCTTTTTGCATCTTTGGAATAACCACAACTTTGAGAAGAGGTTCTTGGGCTCATGTCCTTTCCGCTTATTGGGAAAGACAGAACTGGACTCTAATTTGCCAGAGGCTTTGAATAGATTTTCATTTAATCATTAATTTATCTAGGAGATGGGTATATTATTATCTTAATTTTATATACAAGGATCCTGAGGTTTCTTTCAGTGACTTGCCTATGGTCACATGACTGGTCAAGAGCACAGCTGTGACTAGAAACCCAGAGATACTTTATACGAAACCATGGACACAAAAGGAAAGCTTTTACTAAATTTACCACATGGTACTGTGTATCCGTTTGTAGATGGATCATCCTTCCCTAGCAGTGGGAGAATGGAACTCTCCTGGTTGTTGGAGATGTTAGCAACTCATGCGCAGCTGGTAAATGCACGCATAATGAGAAGGAAGAGATCATAAGTTGGAAGAATTATCTTCCAGGTTTCGGGCTATACACACACTTGTGGTTTGAGAGATAAAACTGAGGTTCATACTTGGATATGAAAAATACATGCACCCGTAATGACTTTAGAATTCACAGTCAACCCCAATCAGCCTTGCAAAAAATCCATGACCACTTAAATCACGAAACCAAGGTCCTTGGCACACACCACCTGGGTCCTGCTCCAGCACTCACTAGCTGTACAGCACTGGGAAGGCTCCTTCAGCAACTCATTCCCTTTTCATCAACTATAAAATACGGGTAATTGTTTTCTTCACAGGATTATGGAAATTAAATGAGATAATCCATGTAAAGTGCTTAGAACAGTGCCTAGCACTCAGAAGAGAATCAGAACCACTCACAGTTAGTATTGCTATTATTTGAACATTTTGATGGGCATGGGCTTATAGGAATAGCTTCACACCATTACATATAACTATGGCTTGTTCAAGATATGTAAGATTTAAAAACCCCTTTCTATTTTATTGACTAGAATGAAGATAAAAATTCACTGATACCTATTTACAGAAAGATACATGTTCTGCAAGGAAAAAATAACTCTCCATCTGCAAAGACCTAGATCAACTGAGGAACGGAAATTCCATTTTTAAAACCCAAATATTAGTGAAGGCACGAGTGTGAGGGTTTGACTGCCTGTTTTCTGGTTCAGTGGAAACATTCTCTTAGTACAGAGTGCCTTCTACACCTCGGTGAGAAAGTAAGACACGTTCAAAGGGACTCTAGTTCTCTGGAGACAGCGAGCACCCTGTCAAGTAGACAAGCCACTCCACCTGCCACTCTCTTTCCAGACTGAATGCACACCACAGACATTCTGAGCCCTTTGCTGCTGCCGGGAGGAATTGCTTCCACTCCGTGAGGACACCTGTCCCATAGGAGAATGGCGCTTCCTCCATCATAACCTCTAGGGAAATAAAAGTAATGGTGGTGATGGTGGTGATGATGATAACAGTAGCAGCAGATGTCATTCATCACAATTGAACTGATGATCACTTTCCATGAGTTATCTCATGTAATTCTTAAAACAACAAGATGAGTGAGTGCTATTCTTACCCCGTTTCACAGAGGAGGAAACGGAGCGAAGCAGAAGAGTTCACACTGAGCTGAAAAGGCACGGAAGCTGAGAAGTCTAAACTCAGTTTCAGATATGTCGGATTCTGAGTTAGCTGTCCTTTCCTGTGACTAATTTATATCTGAACAAAACTAGCTGTGGAATTTGTTGCTATTATTATGCCAATAAAAATCATCACAACAGGTCATTACAACCACTGAAGTTCAGATATATGACATTACATTGCTTACATTGCACCACAACGATTTGGTCTGGTGAAACAGACAAAAAAGCAAAATCCTGGAATTCTAGAATTATGCCAAATCCATTATGTAACTGGCCTAACTTCATTATTGCATACATCATATACACAGGGCATAAGGGAAAAACTTGTAGTTCTAATTTGGGAAATGTTTTGTAAGATTAACATTTCAATGTAAGTAAATTTAATCAACTGTCATTCTTCCTAGTTTATGGTATAATTTATTTGCTACAATTTTTGTTGCCTTAAAATACATTCTTGCTACAGAAAATCATGTCAAACTAAATAATGCCTTTAAAATTCAGCAATTTTTAAGCAAACAGTAAGGCACATTACTTGTTAAGTAAAACAAAGAGACACATGGAATATTTTGCAAACTCTTCATTATAAATAATTTCTTGTATTTGAGAGGCAGTTGGTACTTTTCACAAGGCTTTCAAGCCCAGTGTCTTGCTTACAGGTGAGGCGAGAAGGTTTGCGTCAGCCTCAGTTGGTCGGTGAGGGAATCTGGAAACGAGGAGGTTAGGGGTCCTGACTGAGGGCACACGGTAATTTACAGGTGGACCTGGGACTGAAGTCTCCTCTACTCTCCTGATGTTCCTATAAGGAGTTTTAGGCAGAGCTGAGGTTTAAACTCATGTCTTTCAATTCCTAAGCCCTTTCTTGCTCCTGTGATGGCCTGGCAGACAGCAGATGCTAATATTTTCGGCCCCATCCTTTTGGTCCTACTCCACGGCTGTTTTCACAGTTTATGCGTCATTGGCCTGCAGGGGAGGCGCGGTGGAGTACTTACATGGTTCCTATTTAATGTGTACAAACACCTGTTTAAAAGGAACATGTTCCAAAATTTTCCTGAAGTAATCTACTGTAGACCCATGGCAAAGGGAGAGAGAGACCAATAACTGTCCACACAAATTAGTTAAAAATCTTACTAGGCATCCAACACACTATGTAAAAATCATGAAAACAAGTCACTGATTTCCAAATGCCTCTCCCTATTTTAACTTGGTAAGAAAAAAGCATAGGATAACCCTTCTCAAATTCAGGTTTGACAAATTTAGACATGGCCTAACGTTGAAAAAAATGCTTTAATGTGATGACATGTTATTACACTTGAAAAAACTGAAAAATATGGAACTATTTAAATTATCTGAATTTCCTCAAGGAGGAAAAGAGCACACACCACAAACACACACAGAATGAACTGAGACCCAAGGGTCAAACCTACATGGATCCACCCCAGCGTGAGGAGATCATGCTGATCCTGAACACGGAATAACTCTTCCACATTCTCCATGTCGCAATAGTCTGGTCCTGCAGACTGCTTTGGCACAATTACATGGGTAATAGTAAATTCATTATGTGTCTGAAAAACAATGAGAAGAGCGAATAATCTAATGACAGAAGGGGAAAAAAGCACCTGGCAGAAAAAAATACACATAATCCTGATTTTTTTGCCCTGCTATTTATATCATCATCTTCCCACCCCCACCATAATTCCAAAACAAAGCACGAAACTAGAGAATGGATTATTTACCAAAAACCTGAGTCAGCAGTTTCACACTTGAAACCCATGTGCACAATAGAAAATGTACCATGAAGAGGACTTAACATCCCAGGCTGGTCCATGGCAGTTTAGTCAGTTAATAGTGTTTTGATCTAGTGTTACATCTGTAATGGGAAAATCAGAACAAAATAATAGGCTTCTTTGGAGGGGAAATGCTAGTTCAGTCATTTTGTGGTGCTGCTGGAGGGCATTGCTAAGGTTTTCGGAGGTTGATGTCTTGTTTTTATTTTAATTATATTCAATTTCACTTCAGGACTTACGACTTTCTTCTACTATTGGGGGAACTTGCTAGGATTTTCCATAATTAAGATGATCTTTTGGATTTGTAATTAGATCAAGAGGAAGTCAAAATAAGTCAGCCCTTCAAGTGAAAGAGCTGGAAGGAAGAGGGCTGCATGCGAAGCAGTGGCAGGGGCCTCAGGGAACAGATGTTTGTGTTGTGCGCAGCTGTCCAACCCAGGGAGGGTCTTAGAAGCCATAGCGGGCTTTCCTACAAACTGGGCACTTTAAAAAAAATTCTTTTAAATATTTTATTTATTTATTTTTAGAGAGAGGGGAGGAGAGGAAGAAAGAGAGGGAGAGAAACATCAATGTGTGGTTGCCTCTCACACGCCCCCTATTGGGGACCTGGCTCACAATGGGAACCTGGCCCACAACCCAGGCATGTGCTCTGACTGGGAATTGAACAGATGACCCTTTGGTTCACAGGCTGGCACTCAATCCACTAAGACACACCAGCCAGGGCCAAACTGGGCACTCTTCCTTCAGCCTTCATTACAGCCTCTCATTCATGGCTAACTTTATAAATTCTCCAGCATCACTTCTCAGGGAAGCCCTTCTAGACCTTCCCAGACAAGGTTAGTTTCCTAGTTACACATTCCCTGTGAGCCTGCACTTCCACTGAGAGCACTCAGCCCATTTATAATAAACTATCTGTCTGGTTCTTTACAAGCATCATGTGAGCGTCATGTGGCAAAGACTGTGGCTGCTGTGGACTACTGAATGCCAACACCTGGCACGGGTACTCAGTAAATATTTATCTGAGGAAGGAAGGGAGGGAGGGAGGGAGGGAGGAAGAAATGGAGGAAGGAATTAAACTAAGTACAATGTATGGTCCTGGGGAGGATGCATCCACAGCACGCTGCCCCCTGGAGGGCAAATAAGGTAGCTGTGGAAGAGATAGCAGGCCATTCTCCTGTGCTAGTTACCTGTTCTTCCTCTCTCCTGGAGGAAAAGGGATGATGCAATATTGGAATATAGTAGGAGAATGTGTGTTGAATAAAACATAAGTATGTATGTATGTATGTATTTTTTTAACTTACTTATTTTTAGAGAGAGGGGAAGGGAGGGAGAAAGAAAAGGAGAGAAACATCAATGTGTGGTTGCCTCTCGCGTGCTCCCTACTGGGGACCTGGCCCATGACCCAGGCAGGTACACTGACTGGGAATCCAACTGGCAACACTTTGGTTTGCAGGTCTGCACTCAAACCACTGAGCTACACCAGCCAGGGCTAAACATATAAAACATAAAACATATTATGCATGTAATTAAACAACAGTTTCCAAGCAAAATGTTTATGACTGAAAATGTTCTTGGACCCAGAAATATAAACTTAGACTCAAAAAGAGTAAGAAAGGACACTTCCAAAGAAATCCATCTTTCTTGCAAGTAGAAAATTAAATGTACTTTCTCTTTTTTATTTCCTTATATTCTGACACTGTCTTTCATCACATATTTCTAATAAAACCTTCCATACTTCAATATGACCTATGCCATAAGATTTCAGTTGTTGAGATGATTACCTTAAAGAAAGCAACAAAACCCTGGTTGTATTCCACATGTATCTGATAAAGGGTGGGAAATGATACCCCCCACAGATAAAAGCAGGTAGAGTTAATTATATAAATATATGTGAAGCTAATAATTGCAACAAAAATTCACCTTAGAAAACGAGATGGTTTTGAAAATCCAAAAACCTATAATCCCTGAAATTTTATCATCCACTTTTTAGAAGAATAATTCATGAATAATGACAGTTTTAAGAAATTAATCTATGTAAAATTAATTTCATAATATGTATAACTATTTGGATGATTTTATTCTACTCTGCTTATGACAAGAATGTCAGTACCTTTGAAAGTTCCCTGTGCCAAGACATGAAACAAAGGCCATACCAGTTTTCCACAGAGCATCCCGCAGGTTTCTATTCCTCTCACTGTATTAGATTCTGCCAGCTGCAGGAATTTGTGGCAAAGATCTCTTGATAAAACTACACATCGCAGTCCTTCAACCACTAAATCTAAGAAACAGAAAAGGGAGAAGAAGCTAAAAAACAAATCCTACATCATCCTTCAAAACTGTTTTTGGCAAGCAACTGCAAATAAGTATCAAAAATGAAATTATCAGATGCTCCACTTTCCCTGTGTTAGTTTAAAACACTTAAAAGTAAACACAGTCTAGAAGAAAGGTAAAATTACCCATTGCATATAAACTATTTCATAAACAAGTGGCAAAGTACAAGCACTTTCACAGCCTCATGCCCTAGATAAAATATTTACATATACGCACAAGTGTTCTTTTGGCACAAAGCAAAGACACTGTCAAGTGTGAAGGCTGCAGTGACTACATCCCATAGCCTGTAAGACACAGGATGAATGTTCTTTACTATGTTTCCCATGTCACTTAGATCTTTATGACAGTCGGTGATCGTTAAGTAAGTAGATGATGTTTTCAACAATAATTGGCAGTAACTTATTAAATGGTCACCTATCATGACTTTTTAAAAAATAAATGGAAACTCGAACTCCATCTGACAATGTCTGCGGGGAAAGAATTCCCCCTTTAATCTCGGAAACCTGCCGGCACAGAGGTACAGACACAGTAGTACCAAGCAGCACTAATTGTTGGCAGAAACGCATAATCCCACTGGGGGTTAACCCCCAGGTGCAGATCTTCCTGGCCCAGGGAAATGCTAGCCATTTACATTTAAATTGCCAGGCAAAGTTCTGGACAAACAAGTTTCTCGACAGACATCATCTTTCATCTCCAGTATAAGAGTTTAAGGTCCATGCAGTTCTTGGTTAAAATACATACAAGAAAAAAATAATGCATGTAATTCTACTCTTTTAAAATCTTTGTACCATGACCCAGTGCAGTCCTGTTCGTCAGAGTCTCTGCTGTACCACGGGCAAATCATGAACTCACGACTCCTGCATTGTCAGGTTACACAGAGTACCTGACGTGCCAAGCAGTACAGAAAGATTAGCTCTGTCTGCATGTAGTATCATGGACAGGGTCCTATTACAATCGGTAATGAAATGAGGACTCCACCCCCACCCCCCGGCCAAGATGTTCCAGAAAGAGAGTTCCACTGGAAGAGATTCAGTGTCCTGCAGGGGCACATTTCATCACTTACTCTGAACGGCACTTAGAGTAGCAGCTGGCTTTAAGGCCCTGTTGACCGGAGGAGAGTGGCTAGTACAATTGGTTACGTCACTTTTATTAGGTTGATCAGCACATACACTCGGCACGGAATTGTTCTGGTGTGTGGAGAAGCAGGACAAAGCACTCCCATCGATCTCCGACGGCACTGGGGTCTCCTGGCTTCGCATCTGACCTCGGGCTAATTCTTGCTTTTTCAGTTGATCTTCAAAAAACAGAAACTGTTCCGTTTCTAGCTGCTGCTGGCGCATCTGAGCGATCCGCTTCCTTTCTGCCTCTATCAGTCGCTGATGTTCCCAGTTCTTGAGAAATTCGGCTTTTCGTTTTGCCAGACCTGGGCAGGCCTAGGAGAATGGAAAATAACCAGGTGGGAAAACTGCACCATGGGAAACTGTACCATGGGAAACCACCTGCCTGGGAAACTGCCTGCCGACCCTACCCAGGACCCTACCCGAGCAGATGCTTGGCTAACACTGGGGTCTGGGGTCGGCCTGTCCCGCATAACAGGACGCAGCTTTAACCCGAGGCTGACAAGATGCATTAAGAACAAGGGTCAGCAGAAACGGCACACAGCAACCAGCTCTAGCCAATCAGACCCTGACACCCCAACCAGCTACACTTTGCAGGTTTTTGAGCTTAAAAACCCTGCCTTATGAACAACCTAGCAAGTCGTAACCTCCTTGGTGGGCTTCCCAACCTCCTTAGGTTGGCCCCACTTTCCCTCTTATTCCCCGCTAATAAACCCTGCTCCTTGGCTCGCTGCGTCCATCTGGTTTCTTGAGCGACTCCTACCTAACACATTTGTTCTGAGAAAATGTGGTTGCCAGAATAAAAGGTTAGTTTCCAAGGCAAGAACATCAAACTGGGATTAGACATTCAATCTTCCAGCAGAGAGAGACACGGCTAGAAACTCTGATCTGCCCACAGGGACATTCATGTGACAGTGAGGAAAATATATAACATCAAGGCAAAAGCCCCGTAACCTAATTTGGAAGCAATTCTAAATCCACTCATATTTTACCAGAGATGGGCCAAGACAATCAAGTTCACTCAACTCCCCTGTGTTCTAAAGATTAGAAAATCAAGGTCAGGGTGGTCTGCTCAGCCTAACCAACCAAACCACGTGGAACAAAATACCTCAGGAGTGGTTCTACCACCCTAGACTGCACTGTCCAATATGGTAGCCACTAGCTATAGTGGCTATTTAAATTTAAATATGTTAAAATTACATTTCATTTAATTAAACAAAATGTAATTTTAATTCTGGTCCTGAATCCTGCTAGCCACATTTTAACTACCGTGTGGCTAATGGCTCCCATATCAGAGAGTGCCACATAGAACATTCCCTTTATCACAAGAAGTTCTATTGGACAGTGCTGCCCTAGGCAGTCCTTGCATGTGGCTCTAGAACTCATACTGCTGGAACTGTGTGGAGAAGGGAGGTCATTAAGGAACAGTTCTCAAAATGTGTTCCAGTCATCTCTAATATAACCAACCAGTACTTTTGTTAAAAATGAAGATTCCCAAACTCCCCAGTCTTATATCCAGGCATTATTAGGTAAGAAAACACAAATTTTTAATAACCTTCCCAAATGATTGCATGAAAACTAGACTTTGGGAGTTACTGTAAAGTAGTGGGGCGGGAGAGGGAAGCAGGCAAGCTTACAGCCACACATGTATACACACACAATCATCCTGGGTCTCATTGGAGGGCACATTCTGCATTTCTAACAGGCTCCCAGGTAATGCTGGTGCTGTCTGTAGCTAGGGCTTACCCGTGTGTCTGTTCATCTCTCCTAGGCTTAAAGGCTGCTACACCATCTCCCCAGAGATTTCCACATGTCATACACATGGGATGCCACTACCGTGGACTGTGAAGTGATTGGTGTTGCCAAAGGTACACCATGCAACAGCTGTTGAGGCTGCTTCTCCCCAGGAAATCCTGAGGGGACATCCAGAGGCACTGCAATGTGGAAGGCAGACTTCACTGGGCTTTTCTCTCCTTTGCTGTTGCTTTGCCTGAGCCTCCGGAATCATTTTTCTCTTTTGTAGCTCATGTCAAATCATCGATATCCACACTTGTGGGAATCTTCTGATTTCAACACTCTCTGTCAGTTTGTCAAAACACTTCACTCAAACCTGACCTCTGGCTATGCCCAAAGAAGTAGCATTCTGTGACTACGTTCAGAGTTCACTGAAGGGAGATTCAGTGAAAGTGACAACTTCTGGAGGACATAAACACATAAACAACAATAGCAAAAAGCAAAACAGCCTCATAACGAAGGTGAAAACATTACGAATTCATGTCTTCAACCTGAGTATTTACACACTGACTGGCCAGCTTCTCCTTTCCATGCCTTTCAGTCTCTTAGACATCATCATTCTCACTCTTCATTTAATAAGAATCCAGAAGCCATCACCTCCTGGTGATATGATCATATTTCACTCATTGAATTATAATTATACCTTGATGAAACATTGAGTGTCATATTTAAGAATCCAATTCACATTTCCAAGGCCTACAAATTAGATACATCAGGAACCATATTCTGTTCTCCCTTGCGCCTACTATCTCCATTCATCAGCAAAGAGTAGTTCCCTGGCTCAAGGTCACATTGGCAAGAGTTGGTCAAAAGCTCTACTGAAATCACTGTGGGAGATCTATTTTCTAATGCACCACTTTATGAGATGTTGTAGGGAAATTAAAAAACCACATCTTTTGTGCGAGTGCTTAACCCGGACATCAACGTGAATTTTTTATTGGTGTTACATCACTGCATGTTTAATTTTTAATTTAAATGCATATGACATTTTAAAAACTCACATGAAAATGAAATTCAAAAATACATTTGCACAGAAAAGTCAGTAAATAAATGCACCAATTGAACTTACTTTGCCTTGCATATGTTCTTGGTATTCTATGTTATATTTCTTTAAAAGGTCCTTTTTCAATTCATCTGTCCTTGGAAATGCAATCTCCTTCAGTTTCTTTTAAAAATATACATACATATTGATTAGTGGGATTCTCATTATACTCTTCCATATCATCAGCTGAGTAAGAAAAATAGCTGGAATGTGTATTAGAAATCAAGACACAAGTAACCAAAGATGATGGTGGAAAAAGAAATCTCTCTTTTCTAGGACTCCAAAATAGAAAGTCTCAGGAGAGAAAGGAAGAAATTACCCCCTTTGTAATGCTAATCTGCATTGTGTCTATAAGTACCCCATTTTTAGGTAGTGGGTTTGTAACTGCACATTCCACAGTATGCAAATGATATGTCATCATAGTTAGAAGCAACACCAAAAAACATGGTAGATAAGGACTCCTAGGTTTGAGAGACTATAAAATGCACTCAGGAACTTTTCATAATAATATAGATTCCCAAGTGTAGTCCCAGGTTTACTGAATCAGCATCTTTATTGGAAGGGAAGGGGTTAGGGAATCTGGATCTCAAACAACTTCCCACTGATTCTCAATGGATGAGAAATCTGGTATAGTCCAAGCACAGTCCCCCAACTTCATCTTTTTAGAGATGAGGAAACAGAGGCCTAGAGAAATGAAAAGGCTTGTCCAGTATCATACAGCTAGCTAGCAGCCCCATTATGACTAGAATATAAATCTCCTGACTCTAGCTAGGCTCTTCCAATAAAACTTCTGTTCTCTTAATCTTTTGTCATCCCTCTATCCATCCATCCATTCATTGAACAAGCATAAATAAAGAAAATGTTCATGCCTTTGGAGAGGTTTTCCTACACGTAAAAACAAGAATAACCCTACATTAGAGTAAATGAGTCACATCAGCAGCCTGGGAACTTTGTTTCCCATACAGAATTCTCTGAGGGTGAATGAACAAGGGAAGTGAGGAGAAAAGCTACACAAAAGCATGGAAATTAATGACTCTTCAGCTAAGTGTGTATAGAATTTTTTTAAAAATGTAGATGATCATTTGACAAAATTCGAGTTCTGCTTAAAGGCAGCCTCAGGCCCTACGTAACTGGGACGAGAGCCTCCATTCCCTTATATGATAAAATAACTTTTGGGAGTTAGTTAAAATGTAATGCTGTGATTGGCTTTGTGTATATCATTTATCATCCTTTATGTAAGATCAACCCAAACTACTTAAGACCAACACGTGAAAAACATTTTTTAAATATTATTTAAAAGGATACATTCTCAGCTAAAGATACTTTACACTATATATGCTACAAATATTGATGAGGAATAAATACATTTCAACAATCTTCCTTTTCCTTGAGAATATTTCAGGCTATCCCCTAAACACTTTATCATCTATTGGGCTAGTAACAATAATCAACAGTGATTTTCAAACAGTTTTGGGGTTCAGGACTGTGTGGAATAATGAAAACCAGCCAAAGCGATGGTCTCAAACAAGTATGGAGAAATAGGAAGCCATTCTCTCAGTCTCTGGGAGAAATGGTGAAGTAATTCCTTCTTCCTTCTGTAAAGTGAGCGAGCACATTCTGGGTCTCTGTGTTTTCTTCCCCTTCCCTTGCCCCAGGTCCCATCAGACATCCCACACTGGCTCAGTAATGGTGATTAAAGGTCTAAGAAGAAATCGAAACATCATGGCTAATGGAATAAATCTTTGTACTTAAACACTCAAGAGGATGAGACAGAGGGAAAGAAAGGAGATACGAGCTGATAATGGATCCCGCAGGGGAGCATCGACCCCACAATACCTTCATAATGTCCTGCTTTTCGGGTACCGCACATTGCTGGTAATCTCGATGGCTGGGAAGCTTTTCTACAAACAAGCTAGAGAAGAAGAAAGTACGTCCTTAGCATGGTATGGCAGAAAAAGCTCAATGATGCTTTCTACTTTGAGAATGAGCCTCCTTTTCACAAAGGACATGTTAAATAAATTATTATTTCACCTATATTCATTTCATCTGCCTTTCCGTCCAATGCTGGCATTGAGTATGATTTTGGCATCACAGGGGAGTTAAACTCAATAAACTAGGTTAAGAGGGTCAGGATGCTCCCTTGAGGCTGCTTTGGTCTTTCTCAGGCCTTGGGTACTTAATCCCACCACAACACCATCTTACTCATGTGTGTAGCTGGCAACACAGAGGACCATGTACAAATGTAAGAGTTTGGAAAGACCAATGTAATTCCTTCTCACAACTGATAAAGACTCAAAGGACCAGTGACGAATCAATAGCACCATGGTATATATATATCTTAACTGAAAATTTGTAACTAAGAGAAATGACAGCAGAAATCCCTAGTGGATGAGGTGCTAGTGAGGACTATTTTTTTTATCACCTTTTTAAGGAACAAGGGACAGCAGAAGTAAAGGGAAATCCTTAGAGCAAACCAGGCAAAGAGAAAAGCAATGCTTCCACAAGATGTTGTTTCCATTGGATTTTCTTGCTGATGTATCCCCAGCCTGTAGGATACTGTCCAGCTCACAATAACTGCTCAATAAATATTTGTTAAATGAATGAACAATAGAGCCCTTCACTAATAGATTGTGATGGGGTATAAATACTATTTTTGATCAAATAATATGTGCTGCCTTATAATTACAAATGTGCTGTTGTTTACAAAGCACGCATGCATTCATTATTTTACCTGTAGGGTATAATGGAATGGTATCACAGCTCTCATTTCTCAAATGAGAAAATTCAGGCTGAGTCTGCATAACTTGTTAGTTGCCTACGTCTTTTTAAATAGAATAAAATCACAAACATTTTGAATTGAAGAAACCTCAGAGATATTTATTCACAAGTCATTTTCAGGATAAGCAATTGAGGACCATGGAAGTGAATTACAAATTATCACACAGTCAATGACAGAAGAGAATTCAAATATTCTGATTAGTCAGTCATCACTTACGATTCCATAGGAGTGTGTGCAAAACTCAAGCAGAAAGTGAAAAAGAAATACTATCAACTGGGAACCTATACTAGTTAGGAAGTTAAAATTTTTGGAAAAGGTGTTATCAATGACAATTGATAAACTCCAATTTAATATTTATTGTTTAACTTCCTAGAAACAATCGATTTTCCTGAGCAGGCTGAATATTGCCAACCACTGACTTCTCAAATGCTCATCAGGTTAAATCCCCAAATGAACTAGTGAAATTAATCAACAAGTGACTTTCAATAAAACAAAATAAGGGTTTCAGCTTAGATTAAATAATTATTGGTAACAGATCTTTCCAACCAGTAAGATGGCAAATTGATAAGGAAAATCCAAACCCCATTTCTGTTAAGTCTTAAACTAGGATCTGTTACTAACAATAGCTATCGAATGGGAAGTATCATGTTTTCACATGGCTGTTTTGAGGTAGCCACTTTCCCTCAACCTTTTGGAAGCTCCTTTTTCCTCAGCATTATGACACTGCTAAATAAATTGCTAAAAAAAATTCAATGTGAAACTGACAGCTACAGTCTATTCCTGAATCAGATCCACCCTACAATTGCCAATTCATCCCCCCGTTGAACAAAATTTCACTGCACCAAACAAAATTTTTAAAATGTGAATGGCATGTTCCAGGTGCTGCAGATGGAGCTATAATATGGCTCCTGTTCTCATAAAGCTTACACACTGAATGAATTTAAAACCTACATATTGAATATTTGGAGGCTGTAAAATTGGTCTGAAGACAAAAACATTCCCGGCATACAAACTGTCCCACCAAGACATCATGTCCATATTTTTTCAATTTTCTCATTTCAAAGACTTACGTTATAAACTTATTATAAAGAACATAGGCATTTTCCAAATTTCCTTCTTCCAGGTACACAGATGCCATCCTCTCCATTTCCACTCCGGATCTGAAGTAGCGGCGTGGAGTGATATCCTCATTGATGGAGATATTGCATCCAAGCTTGCTCAGGGCCCGCACTCGCTCCTCTGGGCTGAGGGAAACATCTGTGTGGTCAGGCATGGCAGCTAACTTTCTCTGCAAAGCAAAATTTGAACCTTAGATTATAGGAAGAAATGAATCTGACTGAAATTATGGATGCATTTTCTGTACTAAATGCCTGACAGCAATATTTAAGGAAAGCTTTTCCTAAGAGTTAATAAGATGATAAAAGCAAAGTCTTTTTGCTTCAACATGTGATCTAAACACAAAAAGACACACGCCTACAGAAAAAACATACATTGTTACTGTGAGGAGATCTCTTTCAGGGTTAGGGGTACAATTATATGGCTGTTCCTGGTATAAAAATGTTTAGGTCATATTGAGTAAAGTAGCATGGACTCTTTTTCCTCATGGATGTTTTCCATCCTGGGCCTTGTCAAGCAGACCAGGAGAAGGATTCTTGTCAGGGTAGGACTCATGTCATTCTCTACTCTTAAGGGTCTCCCAGAGATAGCTTGGATTCAAAGTTATCATAAGGGTTCAGAACTCTCTTCTAGAATATTCCTAATTTAATAAGAAGCTTTCAGCCCTGGCCAGGTAGCTCAGTTGGTTTGGATACACCAAGGTTTTGGGTTTGATCCAGGTCAGGGCACATACAAGAATCAAACAATGAATGCATAAATAAGTAGAACAACAAATTGATGTTTCTCTCTCTCTCTCTCTCGCTAATCAATCAACACTTTTTGTTTTTTTAAAGAAGCTTTCAGGGTCTCCCTGCATCCTCACCAAGTGAACAAAACTCCACAGATAAGTCCTGGAGAAGCCCTTCCAAACATATATATAGATACTTCCCATTTTTTATCATTACAAAAACCCTTAGACCTCCACATAATAGTAAATATACTAATTCATCCCTGCCTGCAAAAGTAATGATAATAATTACTAAGAAAAAGTCAGTTATATTAATAGATCTGTATTTTATTAATAAAAACAGCATCTGTACACATTTGGAAAAGCACAAGACATATACATTCAAGGTAATTATTCAATTTAAAAAATCAGTGCTGCAGAAAGGCAAAAAGGTCCAAGTGTGTGTGTGTGTGTGTGTGTGTGTTGTTGTTGTTTTCTGTTAAAGGTCATACAGCAAATACTTCAGGTTTTGCGGGCCACGTGGTCTCCATCTCAGCTATTCCGCTTTGCTGGTGTGAAAGCAGCCATAATAATTAACGAAATGATCCTGGCTGTGATCCAAATTTTTATTTACAAGAATGAGCAGATGAATTTGGCCCTCAGACCATAGTGTGCCAACACGGCTCTAGACAAGTGCTTCTCCAAGTGTGCTCTCTGGACCAGCCGCCTCAGCATCAGCTGCGCTTCTCAAAAAGGCGAATTCCTAACAGGCCCCACCTCAGTCCCACAGACTCTGGAGATTGGCTTCCCAGAGGCACTACAGTCTTTTGATGCTGGAAGAACGGAGTTAGCCCAGAACAAATACAGCTTCCCAAGTTCCCCTCAGGTTCTCAGGGCAGGTAGCAAGTCTGAATACCATGTGGGTGGAGCATTTGATTAAGGTCAGTAGAAAATTAAACAAGGAATCAAGGTAGACATAATTTTAGTCTGGCCATAAATTACTGAACCAGCCTTCAGGGGCAGGGTGTGGTGAATTGGATACCTGCAGTTTTTCCAGTGCCATCTGGTCTACTTTGGTTGTAATTTTACAGCAGATGGAACCCTAGAGACTTGGAATGGCTCTTTAGGTTTAATATATAACCAGAGAGCCATAACCGTGTTTCTAAAGGCCCCATGAGGTTAAAAGCAGGCCATGCCTCCTTTACCTTCCATCACTTTTTTGACCTGGCCTGTGGTGACATGGGTGATTTGCCTCCTCTCTGTTTCTTTCTCCCCGAGGAAGCTCTCAGAGCCTGGGCTTCCTACCCCGAAGGTCTCTAGCTGTCCCTCCTGTGACTGGGTGGGGAAGCCAGTTCAATTTAGACCAGAAGGGATAAGAAGACTTATCAGTCACTCTCCTCTGTTCTTGGGGTCCAAGTAACAAGAAATAAAGGGTGCACTTGATTATGATCCTTTCCTGGCATCTTAAATCTGTTTTCACTTGGTCCAGAATTCTGGAATCAGAGAGGTGTGACAGGCAGCAACACCAACCCTCAGACCTTTTCTAAGTGACTTCCTCTTAAATTAACACACACTTCCCTTTATCCAAATCCTGTGACACTGCTCCTCTAATTCTCTGAAAGACATTCTAATTCTAGAGATGTGGTCAGAGGGCTTATCCGCATCAGAGGCAGGAATCAGAGCTTGCGAACTCTGAGGCTCAGGCCTGACTACACACCATCTTTTCCAACCGGGAAGTCTCAGACCCCACAGCCACACCTCCACACTCCCCCAGTCACACCCACCGGCAGAGCTCAACAGCACTCCATGAGAACACTTTTATTCGACTATAGATAAATGCTTCAACGACATCAGAAGATGACTGGGAAAAAATTCTATGGAAATTAGGGAATTTTCTAAAGGGGGCTTCCAGCCTCCTGTATGTATAGAAATAATCTGTCCATTTTTAGTACTATACTATACAGTCCACACTAAATTATAATTATTTGCATACAAGTGTTTTTAATTTCTTATTAACTCCTCGAAAGAATCATTTTTCATTCACCCCTGTTGTTTAGTTGTGTTGTAGCACAATCCTTACAACATAAATGACAACCAATAAATGAACCAAATAAAGGAGAAAAAGAGAAAAGGAGGCAACATGATCATAATTAGATTATCTTTTTAATGGAAGATAAAAGATTTACCTTTCCTTTCCTGAATAGTCCTATCCTTCCCAAATTTAAAACTGAGTTCAGAGATGATCTGGACAATGGCCTAAAATCTTCATCAATCCATGTTTCATTTGCATGTGAGGTTCTTGGATGAAAATACAAAATTTCCAGGTGAAAAAGCTTTAGTTTCATTTTTACATTGTCCACTAAAATCTTTATTCCTACATACGTTCTAGAAAACCACAAAAGACACTTACTTCCTCTGCACAGCTAGAAACGAGGCAGCCTTTATTATTCCACAACATGAGGTTAGAAGTGAAAAAGTTCCTACAATTCTCTCCCCTTCGAACATACTCTCAAAGCAACTGAGCTTCTGAGGAAGACACTCTTGGAAGAGAGAGAACATTGGGCCCTAACCTATTTCAGTGCAAGCACCAGGCCCTCTGTCTCTTTACATTCAAGTGCTAAACTTTGTGTGTAGAGGGTATTCAGTACACTGCTGCTGTCAGGGCTACCCAAAGGGCTGCAGTGAGTGGGTTGGGAGGGTCATCAGGAGGAGGGTAGCGGTAACGACAGCTTCCATTTATCAAGCCCCCACAATAGGCTGGGAACATTAAAAATATTTTTTGCGATTGTCACAAGGCACAGAGTACAAAAACAAGACCATGGAGGTTATATAATGTGCCTATATTCACACTCAAAGACTGATCTGGGACGCAGAATAAGCTCATGGGATCCCAAGGTGCCTGTTATTTCCTCTGCTGCACGTTGCTTCTTCTAAGACTCAGCCAGAGATACATGCATGGTGTGGGGCCGAAAGGGGAAAAGTGAGAAAATGAAGAGTTTCAAGTGTGCAGACATTTACACAAGTCCCCAAAGCAACATTTAGGTGTTAAATATAAAATGTTTTCCTTGGTCACCACCGCTCGAGGTAAGCCTCCAATTTTCATCTGTAATGAAGCCGAGGCACGAAGAAGAGGCAGATGGACCTGCTACAAAGGGAACTCTGAAACTCTTCTCTCTGGTGTTCTGCTGAAGGACTACACTCCTGGACTCTAACAAGGCAAGTCAACATGTCACACTCTTGGGGAAACAAATTTATTTTTAATTCAAGCAAAGATGGCTTTATTAGTCACTTCCTCAAAGGAGAAAACCACATGGATGAAAAAGGACAAGCATGAAAGTTCTTGAAGCAATTGCCATTCATTTCACACTCGGTTTGCTTCTGTTCCCCTTTTTGGGCTCTCTTACCACATGTAGGCTGTCAGTTGGTGCACCTACCAGGGAATTCACCGTGAACGGCTGATCCATGGTGTTCTGTGTGCAGAGTGAAGGTGGTCACTGTTTCTTCCCAATCACTTCATCTGTTTCAAAGGCAAACAAAAGAGGCAAAGCGTGGGTTATTTTTTTTTAAGAACCCCAGTCTCAAGTCGTAAGCCCCAGGATTATTTCTGCCTCAGAAGAATATGAATGAATTAAAATAACTTTAATGATTAGTTGTTTTTTGTGTTTTTTTTTTAGAGCGGCTGTTGGAAATAACTTCCTGGAAATACCAAACTACAGATGTTTATGGTTTCTTAAAAGTGAAGATGTGAAGAAAATTAATTACTGCCCAGCACCCAGAATGAATCTGCTGGGTGTAGAACTTAAGTAGGTTTACTGTCTTCAGAGTGAGAAGGATCACAGTGACTGAGAGCATGGGCTTGGGAATGAGGGCTCTAAAACCTGGTGTCAGTCTGGACTTAAACTAAGCCCTCTTATTTCTGGGAGGTAGAATTCTGGATGACTCGGTGACTCCTGCCCCTGGGCATCCGCAGGTTAGTGCACTCCCCTCCCCTTGGGCCTGGGCAAGGCCTGTAACTGGTCTCTACTCCATAACATAGCAAAGGTGGTGGGATATTACTGTCATGATTATGTTATATCATATGGCAAAGATGAATAAATTTGAAGATGTATTATATTAAGGGCCCTAATCACTTGATGTCACATTAACCAAAAGGGAGATTATCCTGGATAGGCCGGACATGATCAGGTGAGGCCTTTCAAGGAGGTAGACACTCTCCTGCTAGTCTTGAAGACTCAGCCACCATGAGTTCCACAGCTGCAGGAAAATAAATTCTGCCTGTAACCACGTAAGTTTGGAAGAGGATCCCAAGACTCAGATGGTATCTTTACTCCTCTCAACACCTCCATTGCTGCCTGTGAGCCCCCAAGCAGACTCCTGACACACAAAACTGTGAGGTAATAAATGTATTGTCTTAAGCCATGAACCTGGTGGTGATTTGTAAAGCAGCAAGAGGAAACAAATACCCTAACTGTGTGGCTGCAAGACAGTTAGCTCCCTTTCCTGCTTATCTGAAAAACGGGATAAATAAAAGTACCTATGATGTGTAGTTGTGAGAAATGAAATAGCATAAAAAGTCCTTAGAGTAGTTCCTAGCACTCAGTCAATATTATATGAATGTTAGCTATTATTAGAATCTTTATTTTACAGCTGAGGAAACCGAGACTAGGAGAGGTTAAGCGAATGTACCCAAACTGAAGTAGTCGCTCAAACGTTAGTCTCTCTCTTCCTCATGCTAGTTTAGGTCAAGCTTTGCATCATGACTTCCCACTTCTTCCAAAATTATTTTGGCCTTTATATTCCACTGATCACTGGTGTGATGAATGACACATATCTTCCTATGTCCTCATTTATAAAATGTGGGGGTTAAGCTACATTCTCTCAAGTTATAACATTCTGTGATTCTAGAAATCTCAGAAGTCGAGTATTCAACCCGTCATGTCAGTTTTGGGCCTGAATCCATGGCTGAAAAACCCTTCACGGAAAGCCACCCAGCACGTTCTCTCTAGAGTTTCCCCTTCATCCTCTCCAGTAATCCCTGGAGACATAAGCTTGCAGGCTGCAGAAACGCTCAAGGAAGAAATGGGCTGGAGAGAGCCAGTCATAGTGGAGTTTAAACCCCAAGCTAATTCTGGTACCACTGAGTGTAGGCAATTCCATCTGGGGAATTACCACTACTTACTGAGAAGAAATAAACCGGTGGCAGGGAAAGACATTACAAGAGTTACAGAAGCAGAACAAAGAGGTGTATGGGGAATTTGGAGCTGCGTGGAAAGAGAAAGGAACAAGGAAATACTAGTCATTGATTATGGTCTTGCAAAATCTTCTGGGACTACTCAGACCTTAAACACAGACCAAATAATTTAAAAAGTTGGAAACATTAGAACAGCGGTTCTTAAAATTTTACTTCATCTAAAAATTACATAAACCTGGGACTTTTTAAAAATGCAGACTCCTGGGACTCACCCACAAGGAATCTGAATCCATCAATTCTAAGCCCACCAATAGGCACTGATCATTAGGGTGCGGCCCAGCTGATTGTGTAGCATGAGGTCTCCAAGCTCTACCTCGGAAGGCACTGCACTGGAGAACATATCAAGAAGGATTCTCACTTGTAAGCAAAGGCATTGACTCCTGAGTTCAGAGGACAATGGAAAGATCACAAATTTCCAGGAAGAATATTGCATGTTGAGTGTAACTGAAAAATAAAAACCTCTTTAAAAACACTTTCTAGGAAGGCCAGAGACATAGGGCTTGGAGGCTCCATATCCAGGAAGATAACCCCAAATCACACAGCAGCACTAGCCTGATGGTTGGGGGAGCCTGTACCTTCCACCGGCAACACCTGAGGCTGCCCTAGAATACACATGGAGCTGCCTCAGTTTCTTCACGTCACTAGTTTCCATTTCAGAGTATGAGAAGGAAACATCTGATTGGCAGAGCCTCGGTCACATGCCTGCGGCCTAGTGGCAAGGCTGGTTGAAAATGCAAATACAGAGCGCTTTACACTTCAGAAGGCAGTGGTGGGTTGTGCCAAGTGAGAAAAGGCAGATTCAGGGAAGGGTGGCCCAAAACAATTGGTAAGTGTGCACAAAAATCAAACAAACTTCTCTGTGATGAACTTCTAAATGTATGAAACACTTAATTCAATATATTTTACACACTGAACTTTATTTAATTACTATAGATGGAAACCAATCACTATTAACTCCCACACATATATTTATAATTCAGAAATAGAAACAAACTCTCCTTAAATCTAAGATGAAAGAAGTTTATAGACTGGTTGGTCAACTTTATTATTATTATTATTATTATTGTTATTATTTTTACCATTAACTACTCCATGGCAGTGGCCCTGTCTTAATTCCTTTATTTTTAAATCCCCAGTCCTAGCATTTAAAATCCCCAGCATTTACTAGTTGTAATATGTTACAATTACCAAAATCAACATAAACAGGTTATATTCTCTTGATCAGTAGCTGTCAAAATGTAGAAAATGTCCCCAAGATCCTTTTATTAAAGGGTGTGTGAGGTCATTATCATTTTCATAATACTACTAAAACAGTATTTGCTTAATTTTTTTATCATCAACCTCTCACAATTGTATTGTAGAGATTTCTTGAGGTCCAAGTTCATGCACTGCTCCCTTGAATATGTCTATAAATGTATGTTTAACTTTTAATATGATAACTATAAATAGATATAATCCACAGAAACAAAGCTTCCCAGTGTCCTTCGTCATTTTTAAGAGTGCAGAGGGATTCGAAGACCCAAACTACTGCTCTAGATCTACTGTGCAAACAAACACACAAATCACAACAAAACACAGCATGTTATGTCCACCTCACCAGAAATATAGTGGTCCAGAAGAATATAAAAGAGGGGAAAAAAAGTCAAGTGTCACCTTCCATTTGTGCTACTAGAGTCCGCTAAAATAATTAGAAAACCAAGGGCACAGGAAGAGATACCTTACCTCATACAACCTGAAGCCCACAGTAGCGAAAGCAGCACACGGCTGCATATTCTGCAATGCCCGTTTTCTTTTTCTGATATGAAATATAATGTTTAGCTGATACACAGACCTACATTTTCCAGCCTTTCTTGGAGTTAGGTATGGCCGGGTCACCAAGCTCTGGCCAATGGGGTATGAACTGAAGCACTGTGATGGGAATGTGGATTCTTCCCTTCAAAGGGGGCCCACGGCCTTCTCTATCCATGAGCTGGGATGCTGCCACAGAGGTGAGCCACCTTCAGGCGCAAGGAGGAGCCACGGCAAAGCAAAAGAGAAGAGGAGCAGTCCAGTTCGCTTACACTCAGACCAGTATGATAGACGAATTTTATCTTGTCTAATACTTTGTTTTTATTTACGCAGCTGTGCCTGTATCCTGACAAATGCAGCAAGTGTAACCGAGAAAGGATGATTCAGTGTAGCCCAGGGAGACTCTTGCCAATACTGATCATGAGACACACATCTTTCATCATCCCACCTACCTCTCTCAGCGCTCTGCCTGTGTGCTGCCTCCCTCCACGACTTCAGCCCAGGTATAGGGAGAGGCAGAAACATCCTATTTCCTCCTTTCCTTTCCTCCCAAAGCTCACCGGAATCCTGCCCAGCCTGTGAGATCCCACATAGCCATCTAGAAGTTTCACACTTCTCTAGAATCAGTATCACATAATCCCTTGAACACAGCAGGTATTATAAGCTACAGCCTGGAAGGCAACATTTGGTCATCATAAATGTTCAATTTGGCTGTTACAATAAATTTTAAAATTTGAATTTAGTTATCAACATTTAAAAATTGGGAGATTCATATAAAAATTCAGGTTTCAGCTTCTCTTCAAAAAAACATATTAGAGGATGTGGCAAAACTAGGCCCCAGTACCTGGAACATTTAGTTGTTATTATTTATCTTCTGTCCTGAGTTCAGAACAGTGCCTGCTACTTGATAAGGGCTTAGTATGTTTTTGTCAAATGAATGAAGGAACAATTTTTTTAAAAATCTATAGTATACTTTCCACCACATTCCCAGGCATATTAACAGAAGGTTAGTAAACTTACACGTAGTTCACTTAATTCTCTCAGTACAGGCCTATTCATTATTAATCTCATCCATTCAACAAACATCAGTTGAACACCTAGGATGTGCCAGGCATTGTTCTAGGTATGTGGGGCATGTATAAAACTGGAAAATATTTCTGCCCTTGTGGGATTTACATTGTAGTCAGGAGAGGCAGATTAACAATAAACCTTTTAAATAAACAAATTGCATAGTAAGTTAGAAGGTAATATGTCTGCCTGAAAAAAGAAAGAGTGGTGAGAAAAGAAATAGGAGAGGCAAGGAAAGCAAGGAGGCCTTTCTGATTGTCAAATGGACTTTCGCTTGTGCTTGGAGTGAAATGGGGAGCTATTTAGGGTGTTGAGCAAAGGCTTGAGGTCAATGGCATTATAATTTACAAACAGACCTGTGGGTGTGCTGTTGGAAATAGACTATGGGGGCAAGGGAGGAAGCAGGATAT